GCAGCAGGGAAGTGCTTGTTACGTTGTATAGTATTTGGGATTTTGGCTTTATAGACGTTGCTGCTTTAACTGACTGATAAGACGTCTGTGTTTATGTATAAAGCCAGGAACAATTTATTACCTGGTGGAATTCAAAAACTATTTAATGAAAGGGATGGGGGATACAATTTAAGGGGTCAGTTAAATTATAAAATTCATGCTATATGTACAACCAAAAAAAGATTTTGTATTTCCATAAGTGGGGTAAAACTATGGAATAATTTAAGTGTAGACATAAAAAATTGTAATAGAATTGACGAGTTTAAACATAAATATAAAGGTATGTGTCAATCAAGATATATGCAAGAACAGGCTTAATGATTAACCAGATGGAACATTGTGGGTGTGGGGTAAGAATGTTAATACTTTGTAATAATTCTTTAGTATATTACTTGTGTGGTGTAGAAGATAATTATTTAAGAATGTAATTATGTAAGAATGTTAACATTCTGTTATAATTTTTTTAGTATATTACTTGTGTGGTGTAGAAGAGAATTATTTATGTAGAGATACTGCTTGCAAACCAATGATGGTAAGATGATGTCATGGGGTAGGACTGGATAAGTCTGACTTCTTCCTACTCCATTCAAGCATGTACTAGGTATAAGCAAATTGTTATTGGATTAGCATTTGTTGGATATGTGTAAAATTATGCGTGTTGTCATATCAACTGTCTTTACATGCTTGAAAGAATAAATCAAATCAAGTGTGGATAAAATTACAGTAAGGATAGAAGTTGATTGGTTAGAGGGTGTCCTTCATTTGTTCAGTCCACAAGGTTGCATGGCTGTTTCCAAGGACTGGGATTGGGTGGAGGATAGTACGAAGTGTTTGCAATGATTGTATGATGAATTCATATCCCCTAGCTCTGCATTCCCTTCTCTTTTCCCTTTCGCCTTCTTTCATTCTTCCACAGACGCCAGACCTCAGCATGCCCTCCAGACCTGTATGACTTCAAATTCACACATGCTCTACTAACAGTTCGAGCTGCTTCAAAATATGCACTCTGACTGATGAATTGCATTGAATTAACTTTCAGTGAATGGCATGACTGATGCATTCTGGAATCAACCACACAGACAGTTTGTGTAGGTGATATGTAGGCACTATATGAAGAGCCATATAAACCATATGTCATTTGGGCCTCTTGCATACATCACTTGACACAAACACTTAAATCTGCTCTCATCTACATTATAACAAGATAGGAATGTACTGTATGAATTCAGCATGTTTTTAAGAGATATTTGAATGCATAACACACTGTATGTATGTGGGTAGTGGAAAAGTCAGTTTTGCTTGGCTGAGATTCAGTTACTATGAAGCTTTGAATGACAAGCAATGCAGGAAGCAGTAGGAGTATTCACATGACACTGAAGGGTTCCTAAATATGGCGTCATGGTTTGCCTTTATGTTCAGTCAGGGCAGTTAGAGGCAGCAGGATGTAACTTCCAGATTTAGTTCTGGCAAAACAAACATACAACATTGCTACAACATCTCCAGTGTGTTGACACTTTGTCTACTTCTTAACTCTGAATAGGATCACAGAATTTGCCATACAGTGTAGTAGCTTTTCTTTGAATTTGTTCAATGCCATGAGTACAATTCAAATTAATATATGTGCTAAATTTTACTTTGGGAAAATTTAAGAATGTTTATTAGAAATTAGCAGGGAGCACTCCAAGGTGAAATCATAAATATGAGTAGCTTAAGGAAGACGTAAACCCCAGTAGCCAACCATTTGGCCAAATGTTGGATTTGGAGTTTTCTTTTAATGTTGTAATACCTGAGGGGGTGGTGAAATCAACTTCATAAAGAAACAGAAAGAAACTACTGCTTTATGAGCTCACAAGTTTTTATCTGAGTACAAATGAAGATTTCGGCATCAGTTTTTTTTTATAACTTTTCTATTTATTTATGAGTTTAAAGTTTTGCGATGCAGTTATTTTAATATTTGCCTTGAGGTATGTTTGTTGTGATAGTTTGTAATTATAGGGTGATTTTTGGAAAAAATAATATTTTGACTTAATGTATCAAGAAAGTTTATGAAGAAGCACAAATATAGGAAAAGTATGTCAGAGCAAAAGTATAGTAGCCTATATATTTGAGTCAAAATTAACCTATGTGACAGAGTGAATATATGTAAGAGCCTCCACATGACTTATGGCTTGCTCCCCTCGTAATGTATATATCTCCACACTGCTGTTTAGATAATTGAGTAGAATTGTTACAGAATAAAAGCAGCTTCCACTTTGATCAATAGCTTCCTTCCCTTTTGTTGGTATAACATTACATCTCAGTCATTTTGAACGATTTCCTATGTGGTGCTATCAAGGAAACTGCTTTGAAAATGTCAGCAAATTCATTATTCATCCTCTCTGAACCTTTTCTGAACCTGCTCTTCCCCAACACCTCCTGCTGAGGTTTGGCATGAGTCACTGTCCGACTCTCACACCCCAGCCGTTCTCTACCAGCTGGGCCAGCCCGGCAAATTGTGAATGGCATCCACCTGGGCTGCCTGGGTGAAGTCAGCTGTGCCCCCCCTACTGAACCAAAATCTAATCAGACTCAACATGGCTCAGTTGTGATGTGTATGCGTGTGTTTAGAGGGTGGACTCTGACGTAGCTTCTACCACTAGACCTTTAGCTGTTCAGTCAGACAGCTGCTGCAGGTGGCCTTTAGCTCAAAGCAGTCAAACACACTGTACAGCATCAGTCCTTAACATTATTACCCTGTGAATCATAAGACCCCTGTAAAAGCCTCTACGCTGCCAGCAATCAAAACACTAGAACTTCTTAAAGGCTTTAGTTCGGTCATGCTGATTTTGATTCTACAGTGATATCACTATATTAGTGCAAAATACTGAGCTGTTTTTATCTGTCTCCTCACATCAAGCCAGAGAATTTGCTCCTTGCCAGCAAGTTGAAAGGTGCAGCAGTTAAACTGGCAGATTTTGGCCTAGCCATTGAAGTGCAGGGAGACCAGCAGGCGTGGTTTGGTGAGTACACACAACTTTCTCAATTGGCTTTTAGGTTGATATTCTCTGGCTGTATTATAAAAATAAATAAAAACGTTGCTGTCCTGGGGAGGATTTTTGTAGCTGGTGTAGTGTCATAACTGAAAAACAAAACGTATATGCATCGTTTCATTGTAAGCCACAGAAGGTGGGAGCCAGCATCACAACTAGCCAGTCACACTGATAGTTTGATGCTGTTGTTATGTTAACACTTTGAACCATAGGCTGTTTTTCCACTCTTGTTGCTCTCTTTATTTACAGGCTTAGTCCCTGAATGTGATAATGAGGCACAACAAAACTGTACAGTATGTATTTACTGTATATGCATATTGTTATTTACAAGAGGCTAATCGCCTGTATGTAGTAGCTTTTCTTTGAAGTGGCAGGAATGGACGCCTAAAACTTTAAGATTTTCCCTATTGGTTTTCCACCATGCTTTAGGTAATGTAAATAGGAAGTATGATTTGATGGAAAAAAAAATCTTAGTTCAAAATTCATTTACTTTTTCCAAAGTCACAGAATCTTACAATCATCCTCAGTGAATTAAGTTTAAGGGAGAGGGAAACTGTGAGATGCAGCTGAAGTTCTGGGGTTCAGTTTTGGTAAGACTTCAGTTGGAGTCCTGCTAATTTAGCATTTATAAGTATACAAACATTGAATAAATGGCTTATGACATGTTAAATTTATAACTAGATGGTTTAGCAATGTGCAATATTATGCACAATTTACAATTTATATTATTACAACTGTGTTTTGCTGTTGTCATGTTCTCAGTGACCGAGTTGTGACTAAGAAGTGGCTAATGAACTCCAGACTGGCTGTTTAACATTGATGAATAATGTTTCATATGTGTGCTTTTCCTACAGTAGTTCTACTGTTTTCTTGAAAAAATACTTTATACAACCCCTTTATTTATAAACGGTATGCACATACAATACTTAGGCTACTGATGAGAGTTTGACTTTGAGTACACCAGCCCTTACATAGTTTCCTGTATCCTCTCTTGCTGGTGCATGTATCCAGTTTCAGACATCTCTGATTTTCTTTCTAAGATGACAGTGTAATATTTATGTACTGCCTGTTGTCAGGAAAGGTCTAACTGAAACAGAACAGCTACATTTTTATCTCAGTTTTGTATTTCTGTAAGTAGCAAAATCAGAAACGATGCCATTTTATCATTCAGAGCCTACGTCTCTCTTGCTATATCACACCTATTTAAGGGAACAAGGTGTGCCACCTCTCTTGGCTCTTACACCAGATTTGGATTATATGGATACTAGGCCTATTTTCTTTCTCATTATTCCCTGTAGAACAGAGAAATAATTGCTCTGTTATGCCCCAGCTCCAGCCTCCATCTGGATCCAGTTAACATGGTTCTGATTTTACTACTAGTCGTACTATGTCTCATTGCCCACAGGGTCTGTCAGTGCTTTGAGTGTTTTTTAAGTAGGCAGCGTGTTGCTGTTGGTGAGCCAAACTACATACCCACAGAGGATGTTTTCCTTTCTTTATGAGCTGTGTAACAAGCTCCAAAACTTCATTTTATGAAACCACTGATACTTAGCTACCATAAAATGCCTGCCTTTTAGAAGGTAGTCCCAATGAGCTTTTGATAGACTTCCACATATAGGAAGTGTAAATTTTGGTTGTATGTTCCAGGTTTTGCTGGGACACCTGGGTACCTGTCTCCAGAGGTGCTGAGGAAAGATCCCTATGGCAAGCCGGTGGACATGTGGGCCTGTGGTAAGATCTCCTGCTAACCTGTTTGTCATTTCAGGAAAAACCCAAACCATGATGTGTTTAATTAGGGGAAGCCTTACAGAGCAGTTGCTTATTATTAGCACACAAAAACCATGGTCAGCAGCCAG